TACAGAAAACTGAGTGGGTCGGGCTTGGGAGCCTGGTGAGCATATAAGATTTTCAATCCACAAATAAATAAATTTATTAATTTCATCAACAAAAATAAATTTATTAATTTCATCACCCAACAATAAATTTATCAATCCAAAATAAATTTATTAATTTTATCAACCAACAATAACCCTGATTACCCATTCCCGTTATCCTCACTTTACGTCCCTAAACACCTATCACAAGGGACCTAGTCTAAGGATTTTCATCAGTGTGACAACACTGCTTTAGGGGATTCCTCAGCAATTTGTGTCAAATAAGGCAACCATGTGGGGGATGGAGTACAGCAAATGAACACCCAAACTCATTAACACCTATAGGTTGCGAGCCTGTCAGCGTTCCACAGGACTATCTAGAAAAGTCTGTGGTCGTCATTCATACTCCGCTAGATGACTGGATCACAATAACATCTAGGTCTCTCATCATTTTATTTCATCACACATCAACTATCTACCCATGTTTTACCCAACATTTTTGTAGATAAAATAACATATACAGTTTAAAACATGTATAAAACATTCATTCAACATTCATCTCAAATAAACAAACAATATAATTACACATAGCACGTATTTTATAGAAAATACTTCATATCTATGTGTAAGATGAAAGTAACTACACACTCACTTGTTAAGAATACTATTGGACAGTACTTCGGCTCTAAAAATAATATTCTTCGATGAAATCGGGATGTTTTCTCAAAAACCGGGCTTCACGCGGGCAGAGTTTCGGCTTGAAAATATAATTTTCTCGGGAACTTCGGAGCATCGGGACTTGCTTCGGGTGCTAGGACGATATACTATTCTTCGGGGGTATTTATTGCAATTTAGGAGAGAGTTTAGGGGTGTAAAGCTGTAAAGAAAGTAAACAAAATATGGCTGCCCTCGAGTTCTATTTATAGGGGTTGGAACCTCGATTTACGCGGGGCGTAATATCCTTGTACGTTGGGCGTACTGCGAGGCGGTCCAGTACGCTGGGCATACACCGAGTACGCTGGGCGTACAGGTGGATCATCTCGGATGCATCGGAGCTACGTACACGCGTCGACCATACGATGGAGTAGTCTACGTGGCCCAACTCATACCATGAACACGAGTACGCTGGGCGTACTCCGAATTTCCAAACTTCTAAGATTCATAACTTTTGCATATGAACTCCGTTTTTGACATTCTTTATATCCACGCGTAAGTGAGACTATGCTCTACAACTTTCGTTTAGACTCCGTCGGCTAATTTTGACTTTATTTTTAAAGTTATATTTTTAACAGGCCGGGACAGGAAAAGTTCGTTAAAAATTCATAACTTCTTCATCCGACGTCCGTTTCCGTCTGTCTTTTTACCGTTAAACTACAATCAACAAGATCTTCGATTCTCGTTTAGATTGTCTCGGCTAAAAATCACTTGATCTAAATTTCGAGTTTTGGGCTGCATACTGCTAAGTCAAAACTTCGAAAAATCATAACTTCCTCATAGGAAGTCAGATTTGGACATTCTTTTGATGCACGCTTTCGGTTTAACGAACTCTACCACTTTCATTTAGATCACTAAGGCTAAAAATCGTTCTATCGTAAATTCACTATTTACGTCACGCAGTGTCATGTCGGTTCTGTCGCGAAACTTCGACAGGTCATAACTCCTTCGTTATAACTCGGATTTCGGTATTCTTTATATCTCCGGAATCCTTATTTTAGCCATTACAACTTTCTACATATATATTGGGTTTATCTAACATTTTATTTTGACGCTTATTTTTATTCTTAACTTATTAAATCATAATAATTAAGTAAACAAGCACAAAATTCACATAATATTCACATAATTCTTCTTTATTACTTCAAAACGAGTTACAAAGGTTAACCTAGACTATTACATCATCTTTAGTGCTTTAGCCCAGAAACACGGGCGTTACACGCATGGTACTAGTATGTAAGATAATAGGGGTAACCCATGATATTTCAAGAAAATACCATAGGGGTAGCCAATGGTGAATGTAGGTATGGTATATGGTATTTTAGCGAACTCACTAAGATTTGTGCTTACGGTTTGTGTTTGTGTTTGAAATGTTTTCAAGTACTTCTAGTTCAAAGGGAAGGGGTTGGCTTAATTTGATTACATCCCTTAGAGGCTTATTCCACATTGATTATTGTGATTTTACTCTTATGTTTGAGAGATACGTTTTACGATGATTGGTTTTTGGACAAATGTTTATATTATCTGGGTGTTTTAAAAATAAAAATTTTACTTTGTATTTTTGGGACATTACATACTTTGAATCATATTCACAATTTCCAAGGTCTTTGCTTAAAAGTGGGGTCGTTAAGGAATAATTACTTAATTATATTGTTGGTTTTATGTTCTAATGTATAATATCATCGTTTTTTCACATTTGAATGTACAATGTTATTGATGGTTCGTTTGTTAAGGTATAATGTTATTGTTGGTTCATCCATGAAAGTTAGTTGCCTTTACTATTGTTGCCAGATCAATTTCTAGAATTTTCTCCAATCAAAGCTCAAGTTATGTGGGGTTTTGTCATCTTTGTTTTTTCACAAGTCGATATTTCTTTGGTAGTCCAATAGGTTTCAAGCTCTTCAGCTAATGTGGTTGAGTTGTTTTTAATGAGGCTTTTCAGCATTTTCATTTCTCATTTTAATTATTTTTGGTGTTGTTAAATTGGTGTAGCTAACAATATATAATTATATATATATATATATATTATATATATATATATATATATATATATATATATATATATATATATATATATATATATATATATCGTTCCTAGCCAGCAAGACCTGTTTTTTATCTAATAATAACAACTTTGTCGTTCAAATAAGTGAACGACAAAATATTGTCAATTTTCAACTTTTTATACCAAATAAATAGAAAAAAAAACAGTTTTTAAATTATATGATTTTCATATTTCTTAATGTTTCGATCTATTTGTAAGTTATTATTCTTTATATTAGAATTATGTTTTTAAATAAAAGATATGTATAAGAAATGTTTGACAGTTATAAAAATAACTTTATAAAAATTAATTGTTAAAATGAAAATTTATAAACTTAAAATCTGACAAACTAAGGTGTACATAATAATGACCTTATTATAAAATAAGTTGTTCGAAAATGAATAAACATGGTAAAAATAAATTTATTTCCATTTCATTGCTTAATGCAACCAAACAAGAGAAATACTTCTTATGAACATTTCCCTGGTCAATTTTCTGTTGTACCAAATAGTTGAATCAATTTTTTTCCTCGGTTAAATTCTCTTTCTCTTTATTTCCATTCTCTACTACAATTTCATATCTTTGTACCAAGCATGCCTTATGTTTTTTTCTTTTATCATCATCCATCCTCCAGAAAATATAGAGAAAGAAACCATGGCCTCCTTCCATCACTTTAAGTGTTCTTAGTGCCTTTGGTGTGAAACTTGAAGAATAAAATTGTGTATTTGGTGCAAAAAAAAGCTAGATCCAGATATTATCAACCTTCTTGTCATCTCATATTGGTATGTAAGTGTTAAAGTTTGCATCTTTATGACTATATGCTTCTAGATCTAGTGTTTTATGCATCTTTGGTCATGTTTGGTCCATTTTGCTTTGGAGTTTGGGAAACTCTAGGTTTGTAAGTTGATTAAAGGAATCTTCTCGACTTTTTTAGATAAAAAGAATGCATGTACCAGTTCTCTTTGATCCTTGCAATAGAGCCCAAGCCTCTTTCGCTTTGTTTTGGATCTAGGGTTAAAGTTTGGGATGTTAGGGGCTTATATGTTAGTAAATTTTAGATTTGTATCCATTCTCCGAAGATGGTTTCTGGAAAGTTATAACCCTGTCTTAATGGATTAAGCACTTGAAAAAAGTGGTTGTTCTTCCAAGGAAGCGCAATGCGACCAACTCTTGCTTGTGGCACGAAGCAAAATCTTAATTGTAACTATTTTGAACTGTACGTGACGCGTTTGGCGTTGACTTTTTGATCAACTTGACTTTTGGTCAAACTTTGATGGACATAGAGTTTTAGACTGGGGTTTAACCTCTCATTGGTAACGATTAATAAGATGCATCTAATGGTGAATTTGGTAATTCGTGATAGTTGGTTCATTAAGAAGTCTTGTGTGTGGGACTTGAATTTCTAGCTTCAGGTGAGTTTTCTCATTATATTATATGTGACAATATATGTCATTTGTGTAATAGAATGCATGTGCAATGTTATTGTAAGAATGTGTGGTTAGGATCTGATGGGATGACAGATGTGTGTCTATAGGCCTGATGGGATGATGGTGAAAGCCTACAAGCCCGATAGGATGATGGCGATGTAAGCCTACAGGTCGGATAAAATGATCGTGAAAGCCTACATGTCTGATGGGATGACGGTTATGTGCCTACAGGCCCGATCGAATGATGGCAAAATGGTATTGGATCTTGAGCCTACATACTCGATAAGATGGTGGTGTGACGACAAGATCCTAAGCCTACAATTGTATGCATTGTATGTTTTGATAGAATATTTAGTGTAGTGGGAACTCACTAAACTTTCTGCTTACTAGGATGGGCGGCCTAGAACAAATGCGGGAGGTGCAACCACACACGGCCCTGAAAAATATAGGGCCCTAATTTTTAATAAAATTATATAGTTAAAATACAATATATATTATTGTATCTAAAACTTAACCAAATTGTTTGCTATTACATATGGAAATGGAGGGCATTTTAGAACTTTTTCCGCCGAAGTACTATGTGTTCGAATCTTATACACCTCACAAATCTTTTTAATTTTTTTAGTTTTTATTTATTTCCCACCACAGGAATACTAATTTGCTATTGAAGTTACGTTAATGGTCCCTGGAATATTGTATCTTTTTTCTACAAAACCCCGTCTCTTATTTTCATTTCTTTTGTAGTTTCCTTATTTTACATACTCACACCCTAAAATATCCAAATATGCATTTGTATTATTTTAATCAATTTCATTAGCAAATTTGTTTTTTTCATATGAACTAGCCCTCGCTTTGCTACGGGTCGATAAAATTGCAAAACATGTTGATTTAGCATCCTGTTATCCTCAACGCTATTCAAAATGAGTAAATTGAAAGTAGATTGGTATTTAGGGCATCATCGTAATTGATTGTTAAGTCGCATGGGGCCAAATCTTGAAACCATGAAACATGTGCAATTCTTCTACCCTTCTCCAAACTAATATAAGCAAAAGAAAAACAATTAAATGTCTGTCGATCCATCATTGTAATCTGCAAAAAACAACAAATTTCACACAAAATAAGTAAGCCAACAGGGGAGCCAATCAGCATTGACTTGAAACACATAATGATAAAAGCAATATGTGGATCTTTAGTGAGTTACCTTTCATATCATTCACCTTAACATGAATTTCCAATAAAAAGAACCTCTATATTGGTTCATCAAAATATCACTCGGATTTTGAGGTTTTTCATATGTTTGACCATTTTGCCCCTCGAGATCTGAGGTTTTTCGTATGTTGGAATTTCCATCACCCTGCATTTAACCTCGAGAAATAATAACCTTGTCTTCTGGTAACACAACACATACATATCATTTATGATTAAAATAGGAATATACTTAAAACAGGGAGAATGCAAGATACTTTCAAGAAAAAGCATTTAAAATAAGTAGACATAGACAAAAGAATATTCAAGGTATTTTCTTCAATCACACACACAAACACAAACACATAGATAAAACAGCACACACATTGTGTGATGTGTGTGGCTGCGTGTAAGTGGTTGTGTGTCGCTAAGTGTACCGTAAAATCACAATTGGATTATATTTTCAAAGTACAATGCTAAAATTAGAAATACAGTAAAATTATATAATTGGATTACCTTTTCAAAGTACAATACTCTTGATAGGTAACCTCCTTAAGATAATTATCCACTAAAAAAGAGCCATAATGCTGCTAAAGACGAAAAAAAAAAAAAAAAAAAAAAAAGTTACAATGTTGAGTCAAAGTTATAGGCTTTATGTATGAAACAATGAGTTCTAAAAACGTTTTTTTTTAAATCCAACTTTCATTCACCACTTAAACTCTATACATATGAAAATGTATACTTTCTTCCCTTGTAATACACAACCCCCTTCAAATGCATCCTGTAAGATCAAAAAAAAGCATTTGAAGCTTGGTTAGTTCTATTTGTAACAAATTCCCGCATTTATTTTCTTATTCCCATTGCAATAAAACTTCGAGACACACAAATAACATATCACCATGAACTACAACTTAAATCACTTCAAGATTTGAGAAATTCCATTTTTATTCAAAAAGCAAGTCGAGCGGGTGTCACTGTCAGGAAAATATAAAACCCTATGAGTATGAATTTTGTTGATTTTTGGAGGTTTAGCAATGTAGTTTTTACTTTGTACTACTATTTACCAATCTAAAATAATGAATACAGTAGGTTTTGAACCAAACTCCACCAAACACCTCGAAAGAGAAAACAGAGCAGCAAAATCACAATAAGAATAAAAATAGGATGTGATAATAAACAAATCACTGAAAGAACATTGCTTAACAATCCTAAAAAGTTGTGGGTCATTAATATACAAATAATGATTTTTAAACCTCACTGCAATACATGTATATTGGTAAAATTACGTTTTCGTCCCTTAATCTATAAGGTTTTTATAGATTTGATCGTTATTTGAAGTACTTGTGTAAAGTTTTTGGCCCCTAGTGTAGGTAAAGTGAATCCAACTTTTGGTCCCCAAGATCGCTAATTTTCCAAAAATATTCATTTTACATCGGACAATGACCATAAATGTGACAAAAACTTCAAATTAAGGATTATAACTGAAATACCATCTTACGGACCACAAATACAACTTAAACTATTAAAAATCTAAAACTTATCTTCACGTTTTGGACCTTTTGAGCATTTCCTCTTCAGCCCTTACAATAGTACAACATTTTCCTTTTTTTTCTTCCTTTCCTCTTTTCTTCAAAATCCCTTGTCAATCACTTTAAAATCTCTCTACAGAAGTTGCATAAGTTAAAAAAATAAAAATAGTATTAAAAAAAATAAAAATAAAAAGCGAGTTTCTAGCAACAAACTATAAGAAATGGTTAATCCCTCGCATCTTTGAAAAACTCCAATTATGCGAATAATAAATAACAATAGAAGTAGAACGCACATTTGGTCCTTTGTTTATATGTAGCAATGTACTCTCAAAGTACAATGACGCCTAATAAGAAACAAATTAAAATAAATAAAATATTTTGCAAATTTAAGTCCATAAAAAACCTATTTTGCAAATTTGGTCCTGATTTCAATTTTTTTAATGTTTTTGGTCCTTCTCACAACCACTATTAATAAAACAACACACTTAAAACGACCATATTACCCCTGTATATAACTCTTGCACCTTGAATCATCCAAAGGTGACAAAGTGAAAGTTCATTCCATCGGTAATTGAAGAACCCATAGCAACACCAATTTTATCCTCCTTACTGCACCGAACCTATATAGAGCTTCATCAAACAATTCAACCTTTTGATTAAGGGAACCATTTTGGCCCATATGTAATGCAAAATCAGTTCATTTCCATTTGTTGGTAATTAAAAAGGGTATTTTTATTTAATTATAAAATTAGTTGAAATATAACCTATTTGTCCATAAAAGTCAGAATTTGCCTTCTATGTCCATTCCATTAGTTAAAAAAGTTAACATATAACATTGAAGTTTGCAGACCAGGTACCTTAAGTTACTTGATGTCAAGTAGCAGACCCGGATACTGTTGACGAGAGCTTAGCTGGATAAGGATAATTAGATAATTGTAGTTTGTTATGTAAATATTATCAGATCCTAGAATAGCTGATAGATAGTTATTTTATTTGTTGTATAAGTACTGTAAGATCCGATCAATGAAATACATCAAAAAACTTCTTCCATCTCTCTCTCTGATCTCTAAAACCACATGGTATCAGAGCGTAAGAAATCCTGAACCATCGCATTAAATCCACGTATTGAAAACCCTTGAAATCACCGAACCAGCAAAGCATCATGGGAACAGACGATAACTCTTCCAGTTCCTCCGTGATTGTCCAGAATGTCCAGGACACACCATTCCCCACGGGTGTTACCCTTGACGACACGAATTACCCGTTGTGGTCGCAGTTGATGGAGATGAGGATCGGAGCTCGTAACAAATCCGGTTTCCTCACCGGCGCATCCGCGAAACCTACCACCAACGACAAGGCAATTGAAACATGGGTCACCGACAACAATAGGGTCAAGAGCTGGCTCATTGACTCGATGAACCCAAACCTAATGCGCCGATTCATACGTCTCCAAACGGCTGCAGAAATATGGGAGGCGTTGAAGAAGACGTTTTACGATGGGTCTGACGAAACCCAGCTCTTTGAACTAAATCGCAGGTCCTTCACAACCCGACAGAATGGTAGAAGCCTACCCACATACTACAATGAATTGATCAGCATCTTTCAAGAGATTGATGCCCGTCTGGTAACTGAAGAAGCGACTGTGGCTGAGACGGTGGCAGTAAACAAAACCCTATCTCGGTTTAGGGTCCACATCTTCCTAGCCGGATTAGATCAAGAATTCAATCAGGCAAGGAGCGAAATTCTGAGGAAGGATCCAGCTTTGGATCTCGAGACCTCATATGCTTACATTCGTAAGGACTATACTCAGCGACAGTCCATGGAAGAATCCAAGCCAGAATCGGATAGCATAGTCCACATGGCTGCACGAAATCGGAATCAAAACAAAGGAAAGAACAACAAAGGGAACACGTTCACATGTACCTACTGTGGTGAAGATGGACATTCAAAAGCAAAGTGTTATGAGCTCATAGGCTACCCGGAATGGTGGGATTTCACCAAGAAACCAAGGAAGAAGATTGGTCAAGCGGCTGTGGTTAAGTCTCCCCAGACTGAGGAAACAACAACACCCATGGTAGCTCACACTTCGGCAAATACGGGTATGTCATACACCACTAAAATTGATCAAAGTGATAAATGGATTATTGATACAGGAGCTACCGATCATATGACAAATGATCTATCCAAATTAATTACACATCACACTCTAAAACAAACAAATATCCGAACTGCAAGTGGTGAAATAGAACCAGTGATTGGTAAGGGTACAGTAAAAGTCACGGATTCTATGGATTTGGATTCTGTCCTTGTAGTCCCTTCTCTATCATCAAACTTATTGTCCGTTAGTCAAATCACTGAAGCTCTAAACTGTTATGTTATATTTTGGAAACATGACTGTGTATTTCAGGACTTGGTAACTCACCGGACTCTTGGCTATGGTACTAGACGTGGCAGGCTGTATTACCTTGAAGAAAATCATCAAAGTCAAGTGTATCATGCAGGGGTAGCTCAAGTAAATAAGTCTGTTGCAATGCTTTGGTATCAGAGACTAGGGCATTTATCTTTCACGTACCTTAGAAAACTTAAACCTAATTTGTTTTTGAATGAAACTGATCATGATTTTAAGTGTGGTGTTTGTGAGTTGGCTAAAAACACGAAAATTTCTTATTCATCAAGTGATAATAAATCTACCATTCCTTTTATGAAGATTCATTCGGATGTATGGGGGCCTGCCCAAGTACTTACTCCTGATGGTGCTAAGTATTTTGTAACTTTCATTGATGAATGTACCCGTATGGTGTGGGTATCACTCCTTAAAACCAAAGGAGTAGTAGTAAAAGCTTTTAAAGAACTATACCATATGATTAAAACTGTATACCGAACGGAAATTCATATACTCCAATCCGACAATGGAGGAGAGTATATAAATTACCAGATGAAAACATTTTGCAAAGAAAAGTTGATTCACCATCAAACTTCTTGTGCAAGGTCACCACAGCAAAATGGCCTTGCCGAGAGACGAAACAGGCAACTACTGGAAATTGTTAGAGTTTCCTCTTTGACATGGAAGTTCCTCGGAAGTTCTGTGGTGAGGCATTGAGATCCGCAGCTTACCTTGTCAATCGCACACCATCCAGGGTATTGGAATTCAAGACACCACTGCAAACACTACGTGAACTAACCGAGATACAAATCAGTGAAGGTCTTGAGCCTCGAATATTTGGCTGCACAGCTTATGTACATCAAAACTTAGGGAAGTTAGAACCAAGATCTGTCCGGTGCATGTTCCTCGGGTATGCGGATGCCAAGAAAGGCTACCGGTGCTTTGACCCAGTTGAAACAAAGTCCATGTTACACGCGACGTAGCATTTCATGAAACCATTCCATTTTTTGGTCATGCATGCTCTCTTCAGGGGGAGAGACAAGAAAAAGAAAAAAAAGAAAAAATACATGACGTATTGGAAATGTGTAACATAGAACATGTAGTGCATGATGTCGATGTCGAGGAAGAAGGCAGTGAAAACTCAGCACATGACAACACAGCACATGCTCACGACGATACGTCTAGTACCAGTACCGAGCCACAGTCCAGTACCCAAGTCGAGTTACCAGATCTGGAAGGAAGGGAAGATGAACCGGAACCGAAAATCCCGGAACCGGAGGTGAGAAACACCACTAACAGTCCAGAGGTTGACCCCAACCCTGGTTATTTTGATACTATTTTGCAGGATATTAATGAGGAGGAGGCTGGAAGTGAACGAAGGTACCCTATGAGAAATAATCGGAACCAACCTAAGAAGCAATATGTACCAGATTTGAAGGTAAAGGCAAAGTATCCAATCGGAAACTTTGTTTCTCATCACCGACTGTCGGATACACATGCACTAAGAGTCGAACGTATTTCAACTATCAACATTCCAAGAGATGTACAAGAAGCCCTTAAAGACGAAAAATGGAAGAAAGCAATGAATGAAGAAATGGAGGCACTGCAAAAGAATGAAACGTGGGAATTAGTGAATTTGCCAAAAAATAAAAAGACTGTTGGGTGCAGGTGGATTTATAATGTAAAGCTTGATGAAAAGGGCAACATAGACCGGTACAAGGCTAGGCTCGTAGCCAAGGGGTACACACAGAAATATGGTATTGATTATAGGGACACATTTGCACCAGTGGCAAAGATGAACACTATTCGAATCCTAATATCTATTGCTGCAAACAGAGACTGGCCCTTGAAACAATTTGATGTAAAAAACGCTTTCTTAAACGGATACTTGGAGGAAGAAGTGTACATGGATCCGCCACCAGGAATTGTGAGCAATGGAAAAGTATGTAAACTAAAAAGGGCATTGTATGGGTTGAAACAATCTCCAAGAGCATGGTTTGGAAGATTCTCCGCCTTCATGAAGAAAATCGGATGCAAACAGAGTGATGCAGACCACACACTCTTTGTCAAGGGTGGAGGACAGAAAGTGACAGCACTCATAGTGTATGTAGATGATATGGTGATTACTGGGAATGACCCTCAAGAAATATCAAATCTACAAAAAGTTATCGCCATTGAATTTGAACTAAAAGACCTCGGACACCTTAAGTACTTCTTAGGTATCGAGGTTTCACGATCTAAAGCTGGAATAAATCTGTGTCAACGGAAGTATGTCTTGGATCTACTAACAGAAACGGGAATGCTAGATTGTAAACCGGTAAACACCCCTATTGAAACTAACCATAATCTTTCTATTATGGAAAACCAGGTGCCGGCTAACAAAGAGAGGTATCAAAAATTGGTGGGTAAACTCATTTATCTAGCTCACACTAGGCAGGATATTGCCTATGCTGTGAGTGTTGTTAGCCGGTTTATGCATGCTCCGGGTGAAGAACACATGAATGCTGTACATAGGATATTAAGGTATCTTAAGGCGTCTCCTGGAAAGGGATTGTTTTTTGGAAAAAATGCTGAACAGAATACCGAATTGGAGGTGGCTGGATACACAGATGCCGATTGGGGTGGAGATAGGATGGATGGCAAGTCAACCTCAGGATACTTCACGTTTGTGGGGGGTAGTTTAGTGACTTGGAGAAGTAAAAAACAGAAGGTGGTAGCTAGATCAAGTGCGGAAGCTGAATTTCGTGGAATGGTACATGGAATATGTGAACTATTGTGGATAAGAAGAATATTGCTAGATCTGGATATATACTTGAGTAAGCCTATGTTACTCTATTGTGATAATGAATCTGCAGTCAAGATTGCAAACAACCCAGTACAACATGACCGAACGAAGCATGTGGAGATTGATAGACACTTCATTAAAGATCATCTTGAGAAAAGAACGGTGGAATTGCCACATGTAGCATCAAAAGAGCAGCTGGCTGACATGTTGACTAAAGCTGTGTGTGGGAAGATTTTCGAAAGCTCTCTGGACAAGCTGGGAATGATAGATATCCATTCTCCATCTTGAGGGGGAGTGTTGACGAGAGCTTAGCTGGATAAGGATAATTAGATCATTGTAGTTTGTTATGTAAATATTATCAGATCCTAGAATAGCTGATAGATAGTTATTTTATTTGTTGTATAAGTACTGTAAGATCCGATCAATGAAATACATCAAAAAACTTCTTCCATCTCTCTCTCTGATCTCTAAAACCACAGATACTACTAACAATTGAATATTTATCACAAAAAAAATGCAAATCTGTTAAATAAACCATAAAAAAGAAGGAAAAAAGATGATAAACCCGATCAAACATTGATAAAAAAAAACCATACCCTTTACCGACAGCACACAGTAGATTTCGAGCATGATTCATACACCTCCATTCGATTCATCTTCCCCAAATCGTGAAAATCGATGATTCTGTTTAGCAGAAAACCAAAACATCATCTAAAATTTCCGAGAGAACATTTGTTTTCCATGAGAGTTTAATGGATTTCATCACCAAAAACTTAACAATTTGTAGTAATTTCATCACCAAAAATTGTAAGGAAATTAAAAGTTGAAGGTTTACCTGACAAAACCAATTGAAGCAGCCGTTGAAAATTGCAACAATCTGGAAGTCAAAATAAATCCCAAATGTGGAAAAAGACCTAGAAATCCGAAAGTGAAGCAGAAGCACCGCCAAAAGATCGACAATTAAACATTAGAAGCACGTCGAGTCGGGAAAACTAATCGATTTGAAGAGCAGCAGGTACTAATTAATTGACCTCTGATTTAAAGAAATTAGTAGTCACGGCTTTCTTTCACCATACACGATTTAAGATGGTGGAAAGTCTGCAGATGGTGGCGGGTCTTTGCAGCTCTAAAACCCACTCTTCATCTTCCAACTCTGAAGAACATCACCGGACGACGACGACGTCGACCTCCTGAATAAAGGAGGTGGAGATGAGGATTAAAGGTATCCAACAGTTGAGGCGGTGGACTAACCACGCCATAATTAAAGTAACCAGATGAAAAGAACTGAGCACATACCTGTAAGTTAATATTAGTAGAGGTGTGGTTATTCGACAACAATTCTTTAAGTTGGCGGTCGTTAGGTGGCAAAATTCCACCAAAAACCGTCGTCAACAGACAGTTCAGAAGAGGGAGGTGGAAATTGAAATTGGGGAACAGTCAGTCAAACCACATCCGTCGCACAATTTTTTCTTCTTTCTGGCGACGCTGGAGGTGCGAACAGTGGTGGCCGGACTCCGGACTTAGGGACGATGGAGAAAAGAAGTAGAGGTTTCGATGGAGTTAATGAAAACGTAAGGACCACCACCGACAGGGGAAGAAGAATACCTGGGAATGAAAGACGAAAGCGAGTGTAACACATTCAAGAAACCGAAATCTATAAAGAGAGAGACAAAAAGAAATCGGCTAATAACACTGATCCTAATCTGATTGGATTATACGGGCGGTGAAGTACAGATAGACCTATTACGTGTGTAGCTCCAATTTTAAAAATGGCCTAAAAGGAAAAGAAGACAAAATATTAATAAATAGAAGGACCGAAATTTTTAATATAAATAGAAGGGCCAAAATTGACCAAAAAAGTTTCTGTTTACTATTCATTTCCTTTAAAACTTTAATATATATATATAATAATTAAATCCTTATATTTAATTTAAATATAAATAAGTCTTTTATAACATATTTAAAGTTTAAAACGTCTAATCCGAATTTACGGATATTACAATCGTATATTCTATATGTTTATCATAGTTTCTAGTTAAAGTCATAGTTACATTCCACATTGTCATAAATTTTTTTAATGAATTGTTAATGATTATATATTGAAAATGATATATTAAATAGTATTGATTATGAAGAGTTTGTGAACATTTTTACTTTTAATAATATTATGAGAATCTCGCAATTCATATAACTATATGTAAGATAATATAATGTATTGTCTTTTTTTGTTTTGATTGTTTTTATAACATTTACCGGCTTATCGTAGTATATATATATATATATATATATATATATATATATATATATATATATATATATAATGTAGGGGCCTATTTTTATTGTTCGCACTAGGCCTGTCGAAAAAACTCGAAACCCGTTCTACCCACCCGACCCGTTCCGAATTTGGGTAGAATGGGTCGGGTAGAACGGGTAACGGGTATGAACATTCGGATAATAGGTTAACCCGATAATAATATAGGTCGGGTTTTAGGTATGAATATTTATTTTCGGGTATACCCGAATACCTAAATTCGTTTTTTAAATAATATCAAATATACAATGCAGTCACGTATGCACACTTCAAATAAAACAAAACATTCGGGGTGATATAAGTGACAACATCGATTTTGAACAAGATTGGGAAAACCTACAATAAATTAATAAAGGTAGTTGTTTATCTTTAATATTTTTTTAATATTTTGACATGTTATGTTCTGTCCTTTTAATGATTACACTATTTGTGCAGGATTGAGAGAAGTTGGTACGTCTAATTAGAGCTCGGATTGGATATGAAAATGAATATGGCAACGTGAATATGCAAGACTTTTTTTTTTGTTATGTTCAGACTTTTATGTTTTGAGTTAGGTTATGACTTATGAATTTTACTCTTTTTGTATGTTTAGACTTTTATGTTTAGAGTTGGGTTATGACTTATGAATATTACTCTTTTGTTATGTTTAGACTTTTATTGTTTACTTGGGTTGTGTTTAGACTTTTTTTGTTGTGTTTAGACTTTAATTATTTAGACTTTTTGTATTGTGTTTAGACCTATTATTTCATGCTAATCATATTCATGGCTTTTTCTTTTCTATTTTTTATCAAAATTTGGAATGGAATTAAAAAAGTACATAACATATTATAATGATTTGTATTGTTATTATATATGTACTTGTTAATTGTATGGAGTATTTTCCTAACCAATTCTTTATTAAACCAACCACCATGTAAAAAAAATGATCAATAAGTGTGACTTAATAAATTTCCGGGTATACCCGAAACTTACCCGACCCGACCTCAAACCCGAAAACCCGAATTAAAATATAGGTCGGGTATCGGGTATTATTTTCTTAAGGAAATACACGTTCTACCCGAATCCCGAAAAATTTACCCGTTCGACACCCCTAGTTCGCACAGGGCCCTCAAAATCTGCGAGACACCCCTTGCTTACTAGTTATATTTAAATATTTGTTTAGATTGTTCCGATGAGAAGTTCAAGGATGCGGTGTGGCTGCACTATCTACATCATGTTTTTGAGACTTCCACTTGACTCTAAGTTATGTTTTATGATATTTAAATCAAATGGGTATTTATGTTTTTTTTATGAAAATGGTTTTTTTGTTGCTTAGTTATATTTCAAAAAGAAAATTGGTTGAAAATTTGAGACATTACATAAATAATTATTTTATTTAGTTGTGTTGACCTAATAATAATAAATAAACAACTTTATTTACATATTTATTTTAGTTGATAAATAATAAAGTTATCGTATAAATATTATTATTTATTTTGGATTCTTTTATAGCACTTAGAGTGTGAACCTATAATCTCACACATAATATGATCTCACACATAATTAGTATAAATATTATTATTTATTTCGGATTCTTTTATAGTAATTAGAGTGTGAACCTATAATCTCACACATAATATAATCTCACACATAATTAGTATAAATATTATTATTTATTTCGGATTCTTTTATAGCACTTAGTGTGAACCTATAATCTCACACATAGTTAGCAGCATAGCAATTTGTTTGTATCATGTGCATCATTTCCAACAAGCTTGAATATCCTCTTAGTTTTCTTGTTCCTCAACAACATACCTTTTTCTTCTTGGCATTAGAGCAATAGATTGGATTCTTGGTGTTTCTTTCATATCACTAATATTCTTGTGTTTTGGGCTTTTGACTGTTCGTGATTTCTTATATTCGCAACCATAGTTTGTAGATCCATAGTTTTGATCTTTACACTATTCTTAAGAACATGATGCTCTCAGATTTCATTCAAGGAATCAAGAAACTTATGCAGAAGAACAAGTTATACTTTTCAATATTAAACTTGTTTAGATCATTACCATGTAAATAAATCTATTGAAGGTATGAGTAAGTGACTCACCTATATATGCAAATAAACATTCATACTTTTTATTCATATTGTTTTATTGTTTTACTTTTACTTCTTCTGAACCATCACAGGTGACCTTGGGAGTATCCAACATCTCTTTTGCAGAGTTGCATCCTTCCACCATGTGTATGGAAGATCATTGTAGATTGCAAACATGGCCCTCATATCCTTACTTACCTTCTTTTTATCATCTTCAGTTAGTGACTAATGAGAGTCTTAATAGCTCCTAATGAGAGTGTTGATGCTTTATAGGACCATATGTGAGGTCCTCTATACAGAGGAGAGATTCCCATATTTGCCTTGAGCCACATTTAACAAAGAGACATTAGTATATGTAGACTAGATATTCGACACTAATCTTTGAATATAGTTTTGACAAATACAACTCCCAATTTACACTACTACAACATGGCAAAACCCAAACATAATGCAAACACCTACGTTGTCTAAAAAAGAAAAATAACCCTTTGGTATCAAAGAATAAAATCCCTACACCACCTACCTCTATCATAATTCATATGCTAACCACCATTTTTCCAAATCTAAGATAAAAACTTACATCCCCTCACTCACAGATACAGAGAATTAGCAAACATAATGCCTCTTCGCAAGCTTTCACTCGCCGCACCAAACTTCTCCTCTAAACCAGCTTCTCCAACAGCATGTGCAGCTGCCCGCAACTGTTAATACTCAAAACAAATAAAAATTCTTCTCATCACTATACTTGTATAGGCAGACTGTGCCTGATAGGCTGATACATGAATGTATCAAGATTGTGCCTGATACATAATACATGTACGATGTATGTATCAGGCACAATCACCATCATACTTGTACGAGTCAGGTACAAGTATGCATACTTGTTAGTATCAGGCACACTGTGTCTGATACTAACAAGTATGTAGTAGGCACAATCACAATCACTGCCTGATTGAAGTTTTTGAAGATAGATGAACTTGCCTGATTTAGAAACTCATCAAGCCTTCTAGCAAGTCTGATAATACTCCCCTCAAAGATATCGGTCATTTGTATAACTTCAGAAAAAGATGATCCCTGGAATATTATAAAACCATTGTCATGGTTTCCACATAATAAAAAAATTAAAATAATGAAACTGTTAAAAGGATTTGTGTTAATTATCTTACTTTTGACCAACAATATATGACATCCATCAAAAAGGGTCTAACAGCTGCCTCCACATACTCATCCACATTTACTTCCAATTTGCATTCATTTTGTATCTACAAAATTTCAAATAATTTTAGTTTCATGATCTCATGTTAATCAATAACTCCAAAATTTGAGAAAGTGAATCACCTCTGCTATTCTACGAGCACTATCTTGAAGCTGTTGCAATGGTTTAGAAAGCTCTGATCTTAAATGAATTTGCTCACTCGATTTATCTCCTGGAATAAAGCAACTTGCAAGTGCTGCAATTTGATGATGATCCAGATCATTAAAAGTACCTGTTCACCATAAAAAAAAACAGATCAATATTTAAAAATGGATTAACATTTAATTATTTATAGCAATCTCATTTAAATGAATTTAAAATTTACCATTAAACATCAATTCAGTGACTAGAAGTTCATCTCCTGTATCAATCAAACAAGCTGCACGACCCTTCACTTGCACTATTCCTTCACTATCAATATGTCCAAGCTTCTTTAAAACCCGTGATCTGTTCTTAAGCTCATCACGAAATTTTTGAAGCTGCATACAAAAATTTAAAAAAAAAAAAAAATTACAAAACATTCATTTATCAAGACATCTGGCAAAAGATATGGTTACCTGTGAATCACGCATTTTGGTTTTCAGCTGTTGAATTTCATGATTGACTTCCGCTTTCCTCTGGAAACATTGGATCTGATTTTCATCTCGAGACTGAAACATTTTAACAAATCATGAAATTTGATTTAATAAAAACTGAAACGTGAAACAAAAATTCATACCTTGTTTAATGGGTGAGAAAGCAATTGTTGTTCAAGTTTCTCAATCTGATTCACCAGGTCTACAAACTGAGGTTCTTCTATGCCCATATCCTGTCTCAACAGAAATCATTTATTTTTTTTAATTAATTATGAAAAATGAACTTGTATTTACAAAAATTATATAAAATGTACCTTGACAGGATTAAGTTTTGGAAGACCTTGAGGGAAACGTTTTTGAAGTTCTTGAACAGCTAATAGAATGCTTTGTCTGACTTCAATTGGACGAAGATCAGGAGCAATTGAAATTCTAAGTTTGCTTAATGCTGATATCAATGGCAATTGAACAGGAACCTGAACAAGTTTTTTTACTTTAAATTACATGATATATTTACTGTGAGTAAACTGTAAAAGTGAAAAGTTACCACATGCATTTCACCCTTTTGTCCAGAACGAGGTGGACATGGCTTAGGGCGAGAGCCACTTTCACTTGAGCCAATGGAACAATGAAGTAAGGTGTCTACTATATAGCTACTGCCACGTGAAGAAGACACGCCAGGTGGCAATGACCCTAGTGGTGGGGCTGGTTTTTTTACCACATTTACAACCACCCCCCACCCCCAATCTGTCCCGGCTTCTCGAACCTTAACCTGAAACAAAAAAAAAAAGACGAATATAACCCTATCCATATACAATCTTTTGTTCCATTTCCTTTTTCCCCAAGTGTGTTGTCATTTTCTTTAATATTGTTGAATATTGTGAAACTTGTTGTTTGAATATGTAAGGGTAAAATGGTCTTTTAGTCTCATTCAAAAGAAATAGACTTTATGTATACAGCAACTTAACAAGGGTAAAATGGTGTTTTAGTCTCGTTCAAAAGAAAAAGACTTTATCCATACAGCAATTTAACAATGGTAAAATGGTCTTTTAGTCTCGTTCAAAAGAAAGACTTTATGGATACAGCAATTTAACAAGGGTAAAATGGTCTTTTAGTCTCATTCAAAGGAAAACTATATATGATGTCTCTTTTTTACTTGATGCAAGAAAATGACTTAATAGAGAAAGTCAAGAAAAGGAGGCTTTCTGAATTAAATACTAACTTTTTACAAACTTGAACTCGTTTAGTTTTTCATTCTAATTCCCCAAATGTGTCATCATTTTTTCACATGATTTTTTCTTTAAATCATTTATCCACACAATTAACAAGAGAAAAAAAAAAGAATAAAAAAAGACTTATCGATCTGAACAACATACCAATCTACCAGGTAGAAGAAAATATAGAGCTCTCTCAGGTCTTGTTATTTCTGCCATCATTTTTGTCTCAAGTTCAGAGATTTCAAGCTTAAGCTTATGATATTCAGCAACATCAGCCTAAATAAGAACACAAAAAAACAAATATAAATATACCCATTATGCCCTTGAGAAAATGGAAGACCACTTCCACCTAAAAAAAAACCAAACTTGGGATGAGGGTGGATATTTACCTCCCCAGAAGCCTCAAGCTTAACCACTTCCTCTTCTAGCTTTGCAACCTTTTTCCCTATATCAGGTAAGGTCTGAATGAAAAAAACATATGTTAGAAGCTATTATTTAATAGATTAGAAATGCAAGAAATAGCAATGAGTAGATTTTCCAAAAGAGTCAGATAAAAAAAAACCTTTTCATACTGAAACTGGTGAAAAGAATTTCTGATAACATGCTCTGCTGTAAACTGGCCTTCAGCACGTCTCATTAAGTTCAATATTGAGTAGTAGCTAAGTCTGAAAGTACTAACAAGTGGAGCTGGTTTTCCCAACACCATGTCTTTTAATGTATTCATCTCCATCTAAAAACAAATATAATTTCTTATCATTAATTATTAAAACACTTCATCAATCATTATAAAAACATATATGATAATAATATACCTGTTCATCAATCATTATGATACATATACCACGTTCATCTTTGCCTCTACGTCCAGCTCTTCCACTCATCTATAAAAAAATCATCAAAAACTTGTTGCAAGAAGAAATTAAATATATTATTTTATTATATTTATTTATTTATACCTGAATGTATTCACCAGATCCTACATATCGATGGCTATCACCATCCCATTTTCTAACACTGGTAAAGACAACTGTCTTTGCAGGCATGTTTAACCCCATAGCAAACTGTTATAAGTTTAAACAAAGTGAAAAACATACTAATTTAATGATTTAATCTTAAATGTAAACAGTAGGATAAACAATCTACAAAAAAGAATGGGATTATAGTTATATACCGTTTCTGTGGCAAAAAGTGCTTTTACAAGGCCTTCTTGAAATAATAATTCTACAAGTTCTTTAATGATAGGGAGAAGGCCAGAATGATGAACAGCAATGCCTCTTTGTAATAAAGGCAACATGAGCTCAATTGCAGGGAGGTTTCTATCTTCTTCACTTAGACACATTATTGCATTTTTGAAAACTTGTTCTACAACATCTTTCTCTTCCTGACTATTGAAATCAAGTTTTGTCATTGACATTGCATGTTGCTCACATTCTCTTCTACTAAAGCTGAATATTATAACTGGTTGAAATTTTCTTTCCATGATCATCTGAAACATAAAGAATCCATCTTTAAGAACTTATAAAAACAGTTTGTAATCAATAAAGAAAGACTAGATACATATAAAGAATCTTGCAAGTTCCTTAAAGAAAGTAAAGAGGGAAAAAGGGATATAGAAACACCTTAACGATTTTGTATATATCAGATCCTCCAGAAGCGTTTCCTCCTTTAGCAATTCTCCCACTGGATTTTGAATTCCCACCAAGATTTTGCTTCTGTTTAGTGAATGTGTCTTGCAGTTTCAAGAAATTGTCCTCTCTAAACTGCTCATTTTCATCCACTACAAGATATAAACCTGATCCACCATTGGGAAACACATAATGCTGCAATGGTGTAGGTCTAAAATCAGTGTACACCACATGACATGGCTGTTTATGTATGTTGCATATCCATTCTGCAAATTCAGTAGCATTTGACATGGTAGCAGAAAGAAACACCATCTTGATAGCTGGAGGTAAAAAGATGATACTTTCTTCCCAAACTACCCCTCGTTCACGATCCTTCATGTAGTGGATTTCATCAAAGATAACCCATGCAACCTCTTTTAAAACCTCAGAGCCTCTATAAAGCATTCCTCTAAGAATCTCTGTTGTCATGACTAAACAACTTGCATTTGGAGAGAGTGTGACATCACCTGTCATTAAACCAACATCAGAAAACTCTTGACTTAATTCTCTGTATTTCTGGTTGCTTAGTGCTTTCAATGGAGATGTGTAGATGACCCTTTGTTTGTCTCTAAAAGACATAGCAATTGCATACTCTGCAACTGCGGTTTTTCCAGCTGAAGTATGAGCTGATACTAGAACTGATTCTTTTCTTTCCAAACATGAGACTGAAATTTGCTGAAATGGATCAAGGACAAATGGATAGGTTTTAGCCATTGTCCCATTGTAAACTGGATCTGATAATGTCCCATGGATAGTTTCATCTTTAATGGAAGTATAACCACTTGGAACTGCTACTTCATGGACACAAGTCCTAGCCACAGTCCTTTGCTTTTTTGCCCCTGATTCTTGATTCTTGATTTCAGCTTCTACCCCCTCTGAGTTTTCTTCTGCTAACTTTCGTTTTTCAACACTTGTAGAATTCTCCATCTCTTGGATAATAATTCACAGTACTTAATGAACTTCTCTAATTGACTGATAATGTTGTTAAAAGCTATATCAGATCTGCAAGATATATATACACATACAAACTATAAGAAATAGAACTCACAAGTTGGAAGTCATAGCAAATGTTTTACAGCACTGAAAATTCAAAAATGCAAAATCAATGGAGGTAAAATGCACGATTGTCATGCTCAAATATAAGTAGAAAGCAAACAGGAACATTCTGGTAGTTGTCATTTAGCTACAGCTGCTATATGTATAGGTATACGACAGCATATTGCTCCCTATTATTCCTCTATTCTTTTTACTTTCATTCGCTCAAACCCAAATCTCCAGCTTCTTTGTCGGTTTTCTATAAATCGAAGTCGCACCTTTATATGCAGCTGGAGCTATCATACTACCTTGTCTCCAAATAAATGAGCCATTTCTCTCGTAAACATACGTGAGGAAATTTAATTAGAGGCAAAAGTAGAATTACAATCTTTGGCATGCATTGAATTTTATAAACCCTAATTATCAACTCTACTGTATTATTTATGATTTCTAATGGAAGCACCAACAAAAGCAAATACAGAGACTGTAAAGAATTTGAATAGATGTTACCTTCGAATCCGCCAAAAATGGCTGCCGAATCTCCAATTCAATATTGCGAACCCTAAACGCAATTTACTTTATCTTTTGTTGTTCCTCCGAAAATTATTTCAAGAATCAGTAGCGAAAATGGAGGGTAAAACGGCCCGAAACTTGACCTAATTTATAAGTATTTGAAAGCGCTCTCCCGCATTCTTTTATGATTGATTTCGGCGCATTACAAACGGAGGCGGTGAACTTCGATTACGACAGACTACGAGGGGTAGAAATTCACTGTACAAATTTGATAGGGGTAGAATTCGCCAGAACCAGAAACGTAAAAGGGCTTAAATTTAGCTCAACCTCAAAATCTAGGGGATGAATGAACAACTATCTTAAAAATACACGAGAATAAAATTAAGACAAAAGTACAAAAAATTGGTATGTATTTTTTTTTTTTTTTTTTTTTTGAGATTTAATCTATATTTTGTATTTTTTCTGAGATTTAATTCAAATTTTATATTTTTTTTTTTTGAGATTTAATTTAAACTTTGATTTTTTTAACTTAATGGTTTTTTTGGACTAGTTAGTTTGATTATAGAATTGTCCCCCATAAACTTGAAAAGATTAATTTGTTTTTTCAATTTATTTAAATATTTTTTTCTTTTATTTAAATATAAATGTTAAATCAAATAAAGAAGGGGATCTCTCTCTCTCTGTGTGTAACATCCTAAAAATCATGACCAAAAATTTGTTTTTAAATCATTACATAAAACCATAAGTTATCAAGTCATTCCATTAAAACATGAGGCACGGTATTCCAAAACATTATTATTAGAGTTTCATATCAATATCAGAGTCAAACATCCCAGGCTGAACAAATGGTGTGTGCGGTGCGATCATCCCGAGCTCTTCCCTCCGCTACCGGAAGTACCTGAAACCAAAACTGAAAACCGTAAGCACGAAGCTTAGCGAATTCCCCAACCTACCACATACCATACACATAACCACATACTGGGCCCCCGCCCGCTGCATCGGGACTAGCCCGGCATCGAGCCCCGCCCTGCATCAGGCTCCGCCTGGCATCGAGCCCCGCTCGGTATACAGATCTGTCTCTCTGAGGACCCGCCTGTCTCTGGGCCCCACCCGTTAAACACATACAAACATATAACATACTAACACATAAAGAAAACATGCTCTACTGTATTCATGCTCTAAGGCCTCGCCTAACTTGGGCCCCGCCCCTGTCCTGCTACTGATGAGTCATGGAACCTCATCCACATCCTGTTAATAGTGAGATACGGGGCCCCGCCCACACTCACTTCTCTTCTAACTCGGGCCCCACCCTTGCTCTGCTAAAAATGAGATACGGAACCCCGTCCATACTCAGCTAGTGATGAGATACGGGACCTCGCCCACACTCACCTCCCTATCATGCACATACAAGTATCACACAGACAACAAGTATAATCTAACATGCAACATTCCTCGGGCTTGCTCCGCATCGGACCTTGGTCCGGAATCACATACATATAAACCTTCCTCGGGCACCGCCCAGCATCGGACATTGGTCCGGAATAACATACTCGCATACAATGCCTAGGGCTAACCCCCGGGTCTTCCTACTCTGCATAAGCTAAATGGCCCGACATTGTGGCCTTAGACCCACACACAAAGTGAGGAGACTCACCTTGCACTACTGAAACCCTGTTGATACTCTTCTAGCTGTTAACTGGCAAATCCCCGAACTGCTACTCCTTCGGCTCCCCGAGCTATCAATACCAAAGTAACACTTAGACCAAAATACCCTCCAAAGGTCAAACTAAGTCCACCTTGGTCAAAGTCAAAGTCAACGGTCAATGGTCAAAGTCAACGCTCTGAGTTGACTCGACTCGCCGAGTTGCTCCATCAACTCGTCGAGTTCTAAAATTCGGAACTCTGAAATCGTGAACCAACTCGTCCAGTCAACCCCAGGCTCGTCGAGTTCCCTAGCTACTTATGGTCGCGATTTGTCAAATCAACTCGCTGAGTCATTCCTCAGACTCGTCGAGTTCTACCATACAGAATCGGGACAATCCACCCTGACTCGTCGAGTCCCACCCTCGACTCGCCGAGTCCCTCAGTCTGTTTGGGCAATCTTAATGGATTAAGCCCCTACACTTCAGATCTAAGTCCCAAACTTCGTCTTCATCCTGGAAATGACTTATTAAGGGTAAAGTTTCCTACTGTACCCACCCCAAGTCCTTCTTGATGGGTTTAGCTTAAAACCCTAGTTCCTAAAAGCACAAATCTTTGTCCAAAGTCCATATAACTCCAAACCAAATCATGTCCACATAGATACTGACCTTATACACCAGAAGGACACGTAAAGTCTCTGCCTTTCCTTCCATGCATGGCCTTTTGGGCTCAAAATGCCATAACAACTCCTGAAAACTTGCATGGGGGGTTCCAATGGCATAAAGTTGGTAACTTTATGCCTTAACCACCCTTAATGCTTCCAGATCTGAAAGGATCTTTGCTTGGGACATCCAAATCCCAAAAGCTATCAATCTTGGACCAAAAACCTTCATAAAGGAGGAAGAAGAGATCTAATGAGTTAATGATCAAGTTAGAGACTTGATTACCAGAAAATGATGAGATTAGGAAGCTACTTCTGGATCTACAAGCCTTTCCTTGAGCCTCCAAGTTTCCTCTTCTTATTCTAGACTTCAAGAACACAAAATACTCTCAAAAATGGCTCACAAGCATTAGTGTTTCGAGATCTAGGGTTTTGGTCTTGGAGACTGGAAATGAGGCCAAGGGAGAGAGATTAAGATGCTTAAATAGGGCACCAAGTCCCGGATTTAGGGTTTCCCAAACCCAGACCAACTCGCCGAGTTGGTCCCCCAACTCGCCGAGTAGGTCACTTAACCCACGACTCAGAATTCGCTCCGATTTGTCGAGTTCCTCCCTGGACTCGACGAGTTGCCTTCATGATTTAGGGTTTTCTTTCCTTCATTGATCTTCTAGATTCCAGGTGTTACACACACACTCTCTCTCTCTCTCTCTCTCAAACACATAGAACACATAAATGAACACACTTCATATGTTATGAGTTTGTTCTTCATGAATCTGAAATCATAAATCGAATTTGAAATCATTTGTTCTTCAAATCGTTTTTGGGACTTAAAAATCCCAAAAATCGAATCTAGAATCGATTTTTGTATGTGCAATTTTTGTTTGTGGAAATCGATTTGTGTATGTGTTTTCGTTTCTAAAATCGATGTATGTATATGAAACCGTTTAAAGAAGGTGTGTTTTTGTGTCTATCTTCGCACAAACTCGTTCTTGAATGAAGACAAACCTGTAAATTGATTTGTGGGTTTCGTTAGGGCAGGAAAATGTCGATTTCAAAAGCTTGTCTAGCGATTAATGTAGTGAACACACATACACCTTCAATATTTTGTGTGATTTTGTGTTTGTTTATAAGATATGTGAAGCAGCAAACACAGACACACACATAAGAATATCAAGATCTATGAATCTTTTAACATGATCCAGCATAGGACCTTGATGTATTAAACGAAAACGAAAATCAAAAGATTCACGAAGTTTTCGAAGCTTTGTTGGTGGTGATAAATCAGATTTCGAATAGGATGGCTTCGATTTATGGGATTTTGAATAGGATGGCTTCAGGTTGATGTATCACTGGTTTCAATGGTGTGCTTCACGGAAGGGGTCGTTAGTAGTGATACGGAACGACAGAAAGATTAGGGAGCGTGGGATGAAGCAATGATTTGCAGGCTTCATGGGGTTTCTGTAAGGTGATCCGACAAGCATTGATAAGGCAAAGATGATGGATTTGGTCTACTGGCAATCTTGAAGCATCGAAGGAAAATAAGGAATTGATCGATGAGAGAGGATATCTTCAGAAGGGGAAATGGCACCAGATGGGAAGAAGATGAGGGAGAGGTAAGCCGTTAGGTTTGTTACCGGAGGCATCTGTATTCAAGAGAGAGAGAGAGAGAGAGAGAGAGAGAGAGAGAGAGAGAAAGTGTGTGTGTGAGTGAGAGCGAGAGAGAAAGAGAGATGGAGAGAGGGGAGGAAGGAAGGGAGGATGGAGGGAGGGGAGGGGTATATGGTCTTTTCTTTATTTAATACCAATAAAATATTTAAAAATAGAAAGAAAAAAGAAAAAACAAATACATTAAGGGTATAATAGTAATTTCAGTTTTACGAGGGACCAAATCTACAGCCAAATCTATCGAAAAGGACCACCAATCCAAAAAAGTCGAGGTTTGGACTAAACCTCAGAAAAAATACATACCACAGGGACCATTTTTACAGTTTTGTCTAAAATTAATAATAACTAGATGAGGAATCCCGCTTTGCGGGATATGGATTTTTTAACAGTATAGAAAATAAGGGATTATTGATCAATTGTTTTGGTCGTTTGTGGTACGCTTTGACAGTTTGGTCCGTCGTGGGTTATGTGTGTTGTGTTATATTTTCTTGTCATTGTTGTTAACCTGAATAAGAATTGTAAGAGAATGAAGGCTGACCGAATGAAGTAAAGAAGAAAGCATAAGTGAAATAAGCATATATTAGATAGAAGTTATCCATTAATATGTGGGTACATTAAGGAAATTAGAAGAATGACGGTGGTACGTGGTTACATATATATAGAACAACAAAAGAACGCATAGATGTTTATGCGATAGACAAAAAAAAACAAAAAAAAAAAGCCGACTTCACCTTCGAACCAGCTACATGCATGGCCGCTACTTGTTCGACAGAGACATAGAAGGAAAAAAAAGATACTAACTTCTTATTACAATAACATGGACTCTTATATCATATCTCAAATTGCAAATTTAAAAAACACAACTGATCAGGGGAAAATATATATAGAGAAATCAAACTTACCTATAACCTTCTATAATAGTGTTGGTTGGTCTGTTCTTGAACTTATATTATTGAAGTCCTAAAGGTAGAGTAGAATAGTAGGATGGAGGGAAGATGGGAAGCTTAAGTACCCCATTCTCATAAGATGATTATAAATCAAATAATATCTTTTTATTTTAAATTTCTAATGAGTTATTATTATTTGATGATATCGTCATCCAACCTTCTTTTTCAGGTCCTTGACTTTCTTTGTGGCTACAGAACCCGGCAAGACAATACCAATAGATCAACATTGTTTTGAAAATAAGGACTACAAATGAAAACTTTAATTTTGCAACATATAAGCCATAATCCATAAATAGGACTAAGATTTGAAACCCAA